TGTTGAAACTGATCAGTTTCAGCAGCGGCTGAATCTGGATGCCAGTTCCGACTTACATACAGATTCAACTTAAGAACAAACTTACAGTCCCTATCTTGTACGTAACCCGGAGACTGCCTGTACTCAGTGACAGGTTGTTTAAAGATGGGGGTAATGTAGCTTTTTCATTACACTGGGGAGCAGACTGGCATTCTTTACATTAAAGAGTTAGGTCAGTTTCAGCAGCGGCTGAATCTGGATGCCAGTTCCGACTTACATACAGATTCAACTTAAGAACAAACTTACAGTCCCTATCTTGTACGTAACCCGGAGACTGCCTGTACTCAGTGACAGGTTGTTTAAAGATGGGGGTAATGTAGCTTTTTCATTACACTGGGGAGCAGACTGGCATTCTTTACATTAAAGAGTTAGGTCTACTGAAGACTAGAAAAAGAGAGTTGTCCTAGTGTAGGTGAGAGGAGGTGGAAGTATGGCTAAGGATTTCAGCAGAGGTAGAATCAAGGGTTCTTATACACACACTACCTCTGTGCACAACAGAATAAATAATTATTTAGAAAATCTTTTTCTGTTGCTCACTGCTAACTTGGAAAAGAAGCTCACAATCATAATATGATTAAAGGAATCTTCCATTGACTTAACTGGGTTTTGTGTCAGGCCATAAATTTTGCCTTCACAGATATTTAATAGATTCTAGTAGAGTAGATTGGACTGCATGTTGAGGTCCAGTGTCCATTCTTTTGTTAATTATCTTAAATTTGTAAAACCATCTTTTTGTTTTGTTTTAGGCCCCTTTCCTAGATGTTCTAAATACAATGTTAGACACTGATCTCCCACTGACTATTGAAGAACAGGAAGAATGGGGAAATCCATTAACAGATGAAAAGTACATGGACTATATTAAAAGTTACTGCCCCTATCAGAATATTAAGCCACAGGTAATAAATAGTAATGACATTTCTGCTTTTTCTTAATACAGTGTATATTACCACACAGAACAAGCAAATAAAACATTTAATCATGAGAATGCAGAGTTGGATTTTCTAAAGATTCTTTCTTTAGGGCAGGAGTGGGGAACCTCAGGCCCACGGGCCACTCGTCTGGATCCGGCCCCCAAGGCTCAGGGTTCACCTCAGCATTGGGGAGCCTGCACTGGCATTCCCCCTCTCACTACCCCTTCCCATAGCTCTGGTGTGCAAAGGGAATATGGGGAGTGTCTTTCTCCTCCTTCTCAGTCAGGGTCTATGTCAGTGAGGGGTGCTTTTTTTGTTTTGTGAGGTTTTTTTCTTTTCACTTGTATGCAGCCCCTGACTGATTTTTTTCTGAGTGATTGGCCCCCAAGCCAAAAAAGGTTCCCCACTCCTGCCTTAGGGCTTTAGGAACATAGAGCTTATAAAAAAGATCTGGGTTTGTGAACTACATGTTCTTAAAAGAAAATTCCTGATTGAAAATGAATGAAAAGCCACCTTTGGCTAGTTATTTCAAGACTAATATATATTGTTTTGTAGTGGCTGCTGAAACTGAACCTTTCCTTTAGATTATTAATCAGTCTCAAAAGTTGTTTGTGGCTGACCTACTGTAAAGTACAGTAAAACTCCATTGGTCCGGCATCCAATGCTCCGGCACTCCTGATGGTCCGGCACCATCAGGAACCCAGAAGTGCTCCGGCTGCCGGACAGTTGGAGCTGCTCTACGCCCGGCTTCCCTGATTCAGCCACTGCTGAAACTGACCAGCAGCTGAATCGGAGAAGCCGGGGGCAGAGCAGCTGGGGGGTTGCCGGGTTGGTCCTGTAGTGCTGCCCCTCGGGGCTGCGGGACCAACTCGGTAGCACCCCAGCTGCTCTGCCTCAGGCGTCCCCAAGTCAGCCGCTGCTGAAACTGACCAGCGGCTGATTCCAGGAAGCCCAGGGCACAGCCGGACTATCAGAAGGGGGGGCTATGAGGGATCTGGGGTGGCATCCCCCTCCACCCCACATAGCCCCCCCTTCTGATGGTCCAGCATATCTGATAATCCAGCACCCCTGGGTCCTAAAGGTGCCGGATTATTGGAAGTTTACTGTATTAGATTGTTCCTATTATACAACAAACCACAACATGAAAATATTGTTCCTTTCCTTGTGAGGATTTTTTAAAAGTTTTGCTGCCAGACTAGGGAATTGTCACTATGGAAGAGGAGTAATGTCAATAACTAGGCACATGGTGCAAATACGTGCTTCAGTGGCATTTCTGATTTGGTGATTCATTTTCTCTGAACTGTGACTGCTTACTAATGCTGTATAACTTCCCTCATCATAGTCTCCTGGATATGTAAATTCCTACTACCTCTAATAGGATGCAGAGTTACTAATTTGACCCTTTTTATCTGTAAATTAAGACCACAGAAAAAAATAAATTTAATTGTAACTAAGATTTTTTTTATTTGTAAGTTAAATGACTAGAGCTCCTTCTATATCACTCCTATAGAGGAAGCGTAGTCCTGGGAAGTGTAGAGCTACTGCTCCTTTAACTCTCAGCAGAGGGTCTTTTTCAGGAGGAGAGAAGAGTGATCAGTGCGCTCTGGTTATCACTTCATGACAGATGGTCACTTGAGGATAAATCTGGCAGTTTTTTAGAGCAAACCAATTTTCAGATTAAAATTATAGGGTTGCTAATGTGGGGCTTTAAAAAAGAAGTTGTTTGCAATGTTAAACATATAGAAGATACCATTGTCAAATGTAACAAACCTTCAAGTACTGTGGTGGAAGAGGGATTCAAAGTGGAATTCTTTAGGTTCTTCATATTTTAGGCAGTGAATATGTTATTAACTTTTTCCTCATCTCTCTTTTAGGCTTATCCTTCTGTTCTAATCACAGCATATGAAAATGATCAACGAATACCACTGATAGGATTATTAAAATATGTTCATAAACTTAGAAAAGCAGTAAGGCATTATGATAGAAGCATGAATAAGAAAGGTAACGTGAAAGTGTCATATATATACACACACACAGTTAAATAAACACACAATTAGTTATTCATCAGCCATAAGAAGTGTAAGACTGGAAGGAACCCCTTGATGCTTCACATAGTTCTATCCACAGAAGGAGGTGTTAGACTATTCTTGCCAGATGTTGGTCTAATCTGTTCTTAAAAACCTCTAATGAAGACATTCGAAATTGCAAATGAAGCTGGGATTTACATATCCCACACTTCATTTGCATAATCGCATTATGGCACTATTTCAAAATAACAAATGCGGTGGAGATGCGATTATTTCGGGACAACACCCTTCTTCTGAAATAACTGTTAAACCTCATTTTATGAGGAATAAGGGTTATTTTGAAAGAAGGGTGCTCTCCCGAAATAACTACGTCTGTTATTTCGAAATTGTGCTATTTCGAAATAGCACCATAATGCGATTATGCAAATGAAGTATGGGATACATAAATCCCAGCTTCATTTGCAATTTCGAATGTCTTCATTTGCATTCCTCTATCAAAAGAGGGTGCAAGTGTAGACATACTTTAAGAGAGCAGTATGACTGCTCAGAGCTCCAGTAGAAAGTGGTAGAAAGGCAGTTGAGAGTCTTTGGGTTAAGTTTAGGGGCAGAAGCAACAGGGGTGATGTCACGGTTGGTATCTGCTATAGACCACCAGATCAGGTGGATGAGATAGATGAGAATTTCCTAAGACAACTAGCCGAAGCTTCCAAATCACAGGCCCTGGTTCTCCTGGGGGACTTTAATCTCCCTGACATCTGTTGAGAGACCAATAGAGCAGTACACAGGAAATCTAGGAAGTTTTCAAAGAATATAGGGGAGAACTTCCTGGTAAAAGTGCTGAAGGAACCAACCAGGGGCCATGCGCAACTTGATCTGCTGCTCACAAACAGGGAGGAATTAATAGGGGAAATAGATGTAGGTGGCAACCTGTGAAGTAGTGATCATGAGATGGTTGACTTCGGGATCCTGATTAAAGGAAGAAAGGAGAGCAGCAAAATACAGGACTTCAGAAAAACACACGTTGACTCCCTCAGGGAACTGATGGGCAAGAGCCCCGGATAAGGAATTAATAGGGGAAATAGATGTAGGTGGCAACCTGTGAAGTAGTGATCATGAGATGGTTGACTTCGGGATCCTGATTAAAGGAAGAAAGGAGAGCAGCAAAATACAGGACTTCAGAAAAACACACGTTGACTCCCTCAGGGAACTGATGGGCAAGAGCCCCGGATATTAACATGAAGGGGAAAGGAATCCAAGAGAGCTGGCTGTATTTTAAAGAAGCCTTATTGATGGCACAGGAGCAAACCATCCCAGTGCACAGTAGGAAAAGCAAATATGGTAGGCAACCAGCTTGGCTTAGCAATGAAATTCTTGGCGAGCTTAAACACAAAAAGGAAGCTCACAAGAAGTGGCAACTTGGAGAGGAGGACTAGGGAAGAGTATAAATATATTGCTCAAGCATGCAGGGGTGTAATCAGGAAGGCTAAAGTGCAAATGGAATTGCAGTTAGCAAAGAATGTAGAAGGTAAAGGTTTCTACAGGCATGTTAATAAGAGGGTGGTCAGGGAAAGTGTGGGACTTTTACTAGTTGAGGGAGGTAATATAGTGACAGATGTTGTGGGAAAAGCTGAAGTATACAGTGCTTTTTTTGCCGCTGTCTTCACAGACAAGGTCAGCTCCCAGGCTACCGCACTAGGTAACGCAGTCGAGGACAGCTGTCTGTGGAGAAGGAACAGGTTAAAAACTATTTAGAAAAGTTGTACATACACAAATAAATGGGGCTGGATCTAATACATCTGAGGGTGCCAAGGGAGTTGGCTAATGTGATTGCAGATCCATTGGCCATTATCTTTGAAAACTCGTAGTGATTGGGGGAGGTCCCAGATGATTGGCAAATGTAGTGCCCATCTTTTAAAAGGGGAAAGAGGACAATCCAGGTAACTACCGACCGTTCAGCTTCACCTCAGTCCCCTCAAAAATCATGGAGGGAATCCTCAAGGAATCCATTTTGAAACACTTGGAGAGGAAAGTGATCAGGAATAGTCCATATGGATTCACCAAGGGGAAGTCATGTCTGACCAACCTAATTGCCTTATATGATGAGGTAACTGGCTCTGTGGACATGCGGAAGGTAGTGGATATTATATACCTTGGCTTTAGCAAAGCTTTTGATATGGTCTCCCACAGTTTTCATGCCAGCAAGTTAAGGAAGTATGGATTGGATAATGGACTGTAAGGTGGATAGAAAGCTGGCTAGATTGTTTGGTTCAGTGGGTAGTGATCAATAGCTCCGTGTCTGGTTGGCGGTCAGTATCAAGCAGAGTGCCCCAACTGTAGGTTTTAGGGCTGGTTTTGTTCAACATCTTTGAACAAAGATCTGGAGGATGGGATGGATTGCACCATCAGCATGTTTGCAAAGGACTCTAAGCTAGAGGGGGTAGATATGTTGAAGGATTACTTATACTTATACTATTATTATACTTATTAGCCAGAATGGATAGGAATGGTGACCCTAGCCACTGTTTGTCAGGAGCTGGAGCTGGATGACGGGAGAGGGATCACCTGCTGTATTCACTCTCTCTGGGGTATCTGGCATTGGCCACTGTTAGAAGACAGGATGCTGGTCTTAATGGACCTTTGGTCTGACCCAGTATGGCTGTTCTTATGTAGCGTAGGGATAGGGTCCTGAGTGACCTAGACAAATTGGAGGATTGGGCCGAAAGAAATATAATGAGGTTCAACAAGCACAAGTGTAGAGTTCTGCACTTTGGACAGAAGAATGCCAAGCATACAGGCTGGGGACGCACTAGTTAAGCAGCAGTTTGGCAGAAGACGACTTGGGGATTACAGTGGATGAGAAGCTGGATATTAGTCAACAATGTAGCCAAGAAGGTGAACAGCATATTAGGGTGCATTATGAGGAGCATTGCCAGCAGATCTAGATAAGTGATTATTCCCCCTCATTCGGCACTGATGAAGCCACGTGTGGAGTATGGCATCCAGTTCGGGGCCTGCTATTACAGAAAGGATGTGGACACATTGAAGAGTGTCCTACGGAGGGCAACAAGGATGATTGGGGGCTGAAGTACATGACTTTTGAGGAGAGGCGGAGAGATTTGGGCTTATTTAGTCTACAGAAGAGAAGACTGAGGGGGATTTGATAGCAGCCTTTAGCTACCAGGGGGGGGGGGGGTTCCAAAGAGGATGGAGAGAGGCTGTTCTAAGTGGTGACAGATGACAGAATGGGGAGTAATGGTCTCAAGTTGAAGTAGGGGAGGTTTAGGTGGGATATTAGGAAAAATTATTTTACTAGGAGGGTAGTGAAGCACTGGAATGGGTTACCCAGGGAGGTGGTAGAATCTCCCTCACTAGAGGTTTTTAAATCCCATGTTTGACAAAGCTCTGGCTAGGATGATTTAGTTGGGGTTGGTCCTGCTTTGGGCAGAAGGTTGGACTCAATGACCTCCTGAGATCTCTTCCAACATAATGATTCTACGAATTATTCTATGACTAGTTTTAGCTCTTGAATTAGCTGGTCCCCTTAACGGGGAGCCTAGTTGCAGAGAATAAGTAAAGATGGCAGCTACTTGCTGCCTTGTTCAGGAAGAGAAAATCCATCCTCCTGAAAAGAATCAGACAGTTGCATATATATATACTTTCTGACAAATGTAGTCATCAGGAACCATTTAATGCAAATAGTTAACCTTCCAGTCCATTACATGTGGTTCCATGTCATACAGTTCCTTTTTTCCCCTAATTTTCTTGGTGTGGGTGTGGAACTACACATACAACTTGTCTGGGATAAAGGTAATAGCATCCCTATTCGCACAACAGACACACTTCCATCTTTCTTTTTTAATTCAACAGTGATTGACATTAAAATGTTTTTTGTTTCAGGAAACCTGAAACCTAATATCATCTTAAATGTTCAAACAGGAGGCAGTCATTGTGCCCCATTGTGGGAGGATTCATTAAATGAGGTAGGATTCCCTCAATTGTACACTTTTATAGTTTGGACAAAACATATTGATAATGAAGTTTATACTCTCACTGTGATTTCATCATTTTGTGTATTAAATACACATTGGAGTTAATAAATGAGAACAACTGGTTCACTTGCTTGAGCCTGGGAGTTAAGACTCTCAGCTGCTGTTCTTAGCTCGCTGTGTGTCTGGCCATAGACAAGTCACTTAACCTCATTGTGCCTCAGCTTACCCATCTTCAAATAAAAGCGACAAGGAGTCCTGTAGCACCTTATAGACTAACAGATGCATTGGAGCATAAGCTTTCGTGGGCAAAGACCCACTTCATCAGATGCACATTTTTGCCCACAAAAGCTTATGCTCCAATACATCTGTTAGTCTATAAGGTGCTACAGGACTCCTTGTCGCTTTTGCAGATCCATACTAACATGGCTACTCCTCTGATACTTGACACCATCTTTAAATGGGGTTATTTAAATAGAGTACTGCTCACCAGTGTTCTGAGCTTTAATTGTTTGTAATGTGCTTTAATACCTTTGGATGAACAACTCTAAATATTGCAAATTCTTGGTACAGTAATAATAAAAGCTTTACACCATCCAATTGTAAGTAAATCCTAAACTGTCTACAAGTAGCATTGTGGATTAAGCAAAATAACTCTGAAAGCACCTTGTGACACCACCTTCATTGCTACTGCTGTCCCGTACTTAACTACATTTTTTTTTAATTGGGAAACTTTTCAGATCTCGGGGGCTGCTTTTTTTTTTCCCCTAAAGAAAAATGAGCAGGAAAATCTTTGTTTATATCTGTTTGCTACAGGGTGCTATTTAATGGCACCAATGGCTATCTTGGTGAATAATGGAGGAAGGAGCCAGAAAAGGGTAGAAAGTCTGACAAATTCAGGTTGTTTTAGAATAAGAAGGCTTTTTTAACTAAATTTTCATTGTTTTAGGTTGCAAGCCACCTTGCTTTTCTGTACAAAGAATTTGGATGTGAGCGAGACTAACTGGAGGAAGTGATTTATTTAACATGCACAGTTATTTCAGGATTTGGATTTCTAAAAGCGAGAGCACTCATTCTCCAAAGGAACGAACTCTAATAAATACCTAGATGTGGTCTCTGCTTCCAGTGCATAACCAAAGGAGGGGCTCCTAAAGGCATAGTTGTGTGAGCTGTAGTCTTATATATGCATACCAGGTGCTGGGTGGCAGTTATAAGAGACGGGGGAGGCATTGGGCCTTCGTGCTCAACCTGTACCCTCTGCCTATCCCTCTTCTGACTGTTCTTTCAGGCTCTCACAGCAGGCTGTTGCAGCCTGGTGAGTCTTCCTACAGAGTGAATCTAGTAACTTAAAAGCAAAATGCCTCCCAGCTTGACAGATCTATTAACATGACATTGAACCTGTAAGAGAGCCATTGGGTGGTAATGAAGCCATTTAACAGACATGTGCCAACCTGGAGGTATATACTGTCAGTTTCTGAAGTTGACATGCATTGCCATCTCTATAGGACCTTAGTTTAAATTTTGCTTTAAATATTTCATTAGTTTGCTGAAGATTATAAAGTCACATTAAAAAAATCCTTGCATAGATTTTTAGATGCGTAATCTGAGTATTCAGTTTTAGCCTTAAATCTTGGATCTTCAGACATAGGTTTTTAAATAAATACTTGGGGGTATGTGAAGTCTGCCCCCATCCTACAGGAGAGCGTCATGCTTAGAGTCATCCACCAGCTGAGCAGCAGCTGGCAGTTGACTAAGGGCCAAGCCTCTTGCAGGGCAGGGGACTTGTGTGCTCCCTCTGCCCCCCCCCTCCCCCGGCCAATCAGGGCTTGAGGTGAGGGGAGAATGCAAAGTCTCCTCCTGCCCTGCCCCCATCCTGCAATGAGCAGGGCAGGGTAGGAAGAGACATCACTTGCTTCCCCACTCCCCCAGGCCCTGATTAGCCTGGGCATGGGGGGAGTGCGAAGTCTCTTGCTCCCTGCTCTCCAGCACTTGGCACTTAGAGTCAACCACCCAGATTGACTCTAGCAACCGCGCACTCCCCTGTCCCTAGGCTCGGATTGGTCGGGGAGAGGGGCAGGACGTCCAGTGGTTGGATACAGCCCATAGAGGCCCTTTTGCCCATCCCTGCCCCACATTCTGGAGTCCTCCTCTCAGCAACCCCCAACCCCTCTATGCCCACCTTGTCTCAGTGACCTTGCCACCAGTCATCATCTAGTCCCTGCCTCAGGAGCAAACTGCAGTCTGAAATATCCACTCATCACAGGCAAGGATGTGTAGACCAGCTGCATTCTCCTACCCTTGCTGCCTCCCTGCAGCCCTAGTACCCCCCTCAGGCCTCTGTTGCTAGGTCCTCAGCCTGGGACTGTTCAGGCCTGGGCTTCCCAGGCTCACTCTGCCTTTCTCCAGCACTGCTCTGGGTCCTCCTCTCTCTAGAACTGGAATGAGAGCCTCTTCAGCCTGGCCACCCTTCTCTTTCATACAGTCCCCCTGGGCTCCGATTTGCAGTGTCTAGCTCACTTCTGATTGGCTCCCTTTTTTCCTGTGGAGCGGAGTGACTGCCCCACTACAACCACTCTTATCTAAAATACACATTTTAATTTCTGTAGTGCAAAACTTGTTTCCATAGTCTTCCTATCCATCCCAGCTGTAATCTTTCTTCCCTCTACTGAGAGTCCTTAAAGGGACAACATCCCTTTCCTTCCAGAAAGCTGGATGAATGCATTTCCCTTTCTTTACTTCTATTTGATCAACTAGTTCTTAAGAGAACCCTCTACCAAAATCAGTACCTTAGTAAGATATCAAATCCTTTGTTATGCCTAAAATCTTTGGAAACCTATTTTAAACATGGTGAAATTTCATAAACTTGTCTATTGTTATGGAGCTCACACAATAAATTTTGTTCTTCCTCAAGTGATTGCTCATGTGTATTCCATGTAGGTGTGTGTACTGCAAGCACGTGTCGTCAGAAGTTTTTTCCTTAGCAGTACCCGTTGGGCCAGCAGGGGAGCCCCCTGGCTAATATATACCCCTGCTGCCTCTCCACCAGTTCCTTCTTTCTGCTTGTGAGAGTTTTTGGAATGTGCTCTGCTCTTGCCTTGCAAGCACTCCTCGCAGTTCTCACCTGTTCTTTGTAGTGTTAGCTAGTATTTTTCTAGATTGTTTCTTATCTTGTTGTAAATAGTTGTGGTAGTTACTTAGGCGCGGGGCTCACTTTGTGTCTCTGGCACGTGTGACAGGGCATGTCTGGGCCCCAAGGCTTCATGCCTTGCATGAAGTGCCAGGAGCCTGTGCCCTTTGGGGACCCTCACAAAACCTACCTCCTGTGCCTTGGAGAAGCTCATCTGTCCAAATCGTGCAAGATCTGCAAGGGCTTCAAACCGTGCACCAAGTGAGAGAGTCTCCTTTGAAGATTATCCTTAAGGAAGTGACTCTTCGTCCGGCACCAGCAACCCAGAGTGCACCCGCTTCAGTGCATGAGGCACCTAGCCAGTTGCTTGCCTCTCCAGTGCCACAAAGGCCTCAGCACTAGTCCCAGTCTCCAATGCCTCAGAAGAAACGGAGACCTAGTCAGGGCAGGTCTCTGTCGAGGCAAGTACCATCTGTGCACCCTCAGGCAAGGCACATGGCACCAGCAGGATTGGCACCCGGACCATTGCAGCCCACATTGAGGCACAAGCCTAGTAGAGGATCTTCTGGAGCCCTCAACACCAAACACTTTCAAGGCCTAAAGGGACCTCACTGAATTAACCTCCTCCCCAACACTGGAACTGGGCCTGGCTAAAGAGTATGATGCCAGGCAGCACCATGCTGTAGTCATGGCACCTAGTGCCCGGACACTGAACGTCAGAAGTCGTCATCACATGACTCAGGTACTGTTGACCTCAACACCAGAATGGTCCCCGCACCGTCCTTGGCCGCGGCACCAGTCCCAACTGTGACAATGGTACCGAGACAGGACATTTGCATGGCAGCAGCCCCCAGTTTGGGTTCCTCTCAAACTACAACTTCACTGTCAGGCAATCCAGCACTCCTCCCCACTATGCCACCACCTCCTTCCCGACACTGAGAAAAGCCGGAGTTGATGGGCTCTGCCTGCCCTGGACGTATGTTGCTGGAGTTCACTGCCCTGGTTGAACTCCAAATACTCTACTTCAGAACACTTTTAAAGAGCAATGACAGTCCAGGACTTTAACTACTAAAACACACATTAACAGAAGACCATTATATTTTCTCGCCGTTGTGGAGCGTGTTCCTAGTGGAGGCCACATTCAAAGGATCCCACGTGCGGACCACGTGTTGAGCCACATGTACACTCAAACTGCACCACGGGCCACATGTTGAGTAGCCCTGCTGTAGAAGTTCCAGCATCTGTGGTTTATTCAGGTGAGTTGGTTGCCCTTAAGTTAAGCACCTTCTTCTCTCTATTTACCGCCATTGCTCACACACCAATAAGAGAGCCCAGACATAATTAAAACAGATTGTTTTATGGACTACTGGTCACTCAATACACAAGCCAGCAAATTTAAAAAGCCATTGCTACAAGTCAACACTTCTTGCCTTAAAGGTAAGAAATTTTGTTTTATATGCATGCCCTAGCTCTTAACAATGCATGTAGAGTATATTCAAGGCACTAGAATAACATGCCTTTTCAGACACGAAACACTGGGCTTGGAAAGCTACCATAGTATGAATCTGCTTCCTTGTTTTATACTCCAGGACAATTCCTTCCCCCTTTTCAGTTTTAATTGTTTTGGTATTTACAACCTTACCAATATTGCTAAAATCAGTACTTAGTCTTATGGTAGCTTCAGATGGAATCTCAGAAACTACAGCTTTCAGGTCTGTGATTGATGCCTGTCCAAAATTGAGAACCATCATAAAGACTGTGTCTAATCCATCTAATTCCCTCAGATATACAAAAACATTGCTGTCATTCCAAATGTAGCACATCCATCCCCTATGAATGGGCAGCTCATTGTTGCGAAGTAAATTAAGCTCTCGATACAGATTCAGTGTTGAGTTACGTTGAGTCTTTTGAGCCTGTAAAAAAAAAAAGTGTCATACTAATATTTTCAGCATTTAATGAGGAAGAAATGACTATGGTACTTTGTAGTACAGAAGTGATTACCACCTCTGCTATGATTATTTTTTCCATTTTTCTGACTCTTAGCCCCCTCTGCAAATCCTTCCAGATTCAGATTGAAGCTCTTTGTCCTTAGACTTTAGGTACCATCACAATTCTGCCTCTCCATATACTTATCTGCCCTATTTCTCCCCATATTGTCCACCTGTGCTACTCCACCAATGATGATAGCCTTGAGTCCTTTTCTTACAACTTTTTTTTGCTCTTTTCTTGTGCCTCATATTCGTTTTGTCAGCAAAGCATTCCTTACCAAGAAGTCAGAGCACTCAGCATCAAGGACTTGATCTTGCTCCCAATTACTTCAGTAACAACCCCCAGTAACAACCCCCAAGAGATTAATCTCAATTGTTTCTTCCTTATTGTTGTAGAGCAACAATACCTGTACTTCACTCACTTCGTGTAATGAAGACTGCCAAGTTCGATCTTAGACAATGTAACATATGCAAACATAGAAATGCATTCATCTTATTTTCCTGCTACATGTAACAAAGCCTGCTTGTATTAATCTAAATGGTACATTTCAGATTAATGTTGAAAGATTAAATGCATTAGACTAGAAAGACCTACATTTGACAACTGTGGTATTCTGGTTTATTCTGGTTAAATTTTCTGTTGCAAATAAGATATTTTTTTTTAGCATTTCTTTCTTCCACCGCTTTGCTTTTTCTCAGTTTTAGTTTTAACTTGCCTAAACTGCCACATTCCATTAAGCAAAACAAACTAGAGCTTCACTAGCTTTTCTGAGATTGTGTGCTTAATTTAAATACTTACTTCAACATTTAAATTATAGTAGTCTGGATTCACAGGTAACCAGCTTATGTTGCCCTCACTGAAGCCGGCGTGAAGATTGCCATTCCACTGCATGGGTGATTTCTCTGGAAAGGTTGCCTAAAAATAAGAGCATCAGGCACCATTCAAAAACATCCTCATTAATATTCTAAACGATGACCCAGTTAAACAATCTTTTGCCTTGGCTCGGTTAGTGACCGTGAGAGACAGCCAGCGTAGCTTCAGCCCCTCACACCCTGTACAGAACATGTAATTATCCAGCCCTTCCACTGCATGGGTGATTTCTCTGGAAAGGTTGCCTAAAAATAAGAGCATCAGGCACCATTCAAAAACATCCTCATTAATATTCTAAACGATGACCCAGTTAAACAATCTTTTGCCTTGGCTCGGTTAGTGACCGTGAGAGACAGCCAGCGTAGCTTCAGCCCCTCACACCCTGTACAGAACATGTAATTATCCAGCCC